CCCGAATTCAATGTTCACAAGCGCACCCAAGCTGAGTGTCAAATCAGTTGACGGCAAAGGGCGTAAGACGTCAAAGTCCGTTTACCACCATGGGGTGAATCAATACGCAACTTATACTTAACTTCCTTGACTGAACTATAGCAATGACCGCTGACCACCCGTCTCGTCAAAGTCTTATTGATGTGCTGGAGGCAGGTTATTTTATAGTTTCAGCTTAACTTTAACCTTTCAGCTTCAGCCTTGCTCACTGTTAAAACAACATCATAAACTGATCAAGACAGGATTACTTAAAACGTTTGTAAAATGTGTGCATGGCACACAGAGTGTTCTATAATTTTTCGGCTAAGACAACAATGCATCAAACACCAACTGATAAGATATTAACAAATTTTCAGCTCTCAGCTTTGCTCTCCAAATCCTCAGGGTGGTTAAGGTTTTAGCATACACTCCAGGAGCTTCGAGGTAACGTTTTTGGCCGCCGCTGCCAGGGTCATATTTACTGTTTGTTTCAGTTATCACTTACCAACGCTGTTGCGACGTTTCTGCTGCACTCTGCGGCGGTTGTAAAACAAATTATGCGGAAATACCGTGAGCACTGTTTGACTCTGGCAGCGTTCTTTGCCTGGATTTAACTTCATTGCCATGACTTTACTCTTTAGGAAATAGTCTTCATTTGATCTGTGCTGGTTTTCATTTTTCGACACAAAATGCTGAATTATGCATGCTGTCACCCTGGCTTTCTTCTTTTGTCCGCAAAAAACGAGTTAACAAAAGCTTAACGTTTGACATACCGGTTTTTCACCTCCGCCCTAGCACAGTGTACTCAGAAGTTCGTAAGAAATCGACCACTAAGTAAGCTAGAGTCACGAGGAAAACATCACTGGAAACCTGTTGTAAAATTACGTTTGATATGATTGAACAGCGCTGAATGTGCCCCCTGACAAGTCAAATCGGATCGAAAGGATCAACACAACATTTTATAGACCCCACCTATGGTGACAAGAAGTAAGCATGCTAAAATAACGCAAACATGGAGTTTAGTTGCCATTGAAAACTTTATCTGATGAACGCTGGTGAAAAGTGGCAGATGTGACCCTTCCTTCAAAGGGGTGAAGGCTTTTGTTGCATTTACTCCTCTAGCTATACCAAGGGGGATGCACACGTGGTACAAATGTGTTTGTTTTCTTCAGTGGGAAGTGTGCTTTAGTAAATGCAGGTAAATGTGACGTTTTAGGGAAAATTTGCCTCACACTCGCGATTCATTGTGCGTTTGAAGCACACTATGATTCGTCAGTCACCCAACGAAGAATTGGTGTTCGAAATATAGCGGCATTCTTTTCGTATGTCTTCTACTTTTCGTATGAACATAAATCGCAAGTCAACTCCTCTTACATACTACTTACTATGAACTGACTCAAAGAAGGCTAAAACCCATTAATGAATATGCGTGATCGGTGTTTCAAATTTTCACATCGGGTGTAAAGATGTTGTAAACTCCGCCACCCAGCAATTGGGAAGGCTGTGCTTAAAATCATCCAGAAGTTTTCATGCAGCGAGCAGCCTACAGCCTTCCGATCATAAGAGCCTTCGATGTCAATCGTAGAAGTTAGTATATGTCACGCTTGTGAGATGAATATGTCCTCTTGGGACTCAGGCTATCCCGCATGCCATGGACGAAGAGTGGCAAAATATGTTTCCATTTCGAGCTGCCAATGGGCTGATTGCACCGTGTGCATGGACACCGTTACTGCATTTAATGCCAGGAGTACAGCCGTCTTGAGGCAGCAAAGCGTGACGCCATAGTTATGTGTATATATATATATATATATATATATATATATATATATATATATATATATAGCACGCCACAAGGTTTCTCTGTGGACGTAGGTTCTAATAATGCAAACCCTGACAATCCTAGTGGCAAGATGTATTTTGCTGCTCACCAACAACCAACACAAGAGAATAGCAATGTTGTGTTACAGTGGTCGTTTATCTGAAAACGACGTCTTAGCTCCATTGCATAATGATCATAATACCTGAATAGCCAGTAACGTCGTTGTTCATAAAATATTGTGTGAATATTAAAGGTCCATTTGTTGAGATATTTCCGATGGAAATGTTAGCTTAGATGTGGAAGACGTCACAAGAGCTATTCGAATGGCTCCAACACAGGCATCGTACGCAGTTCTAAGAGAAATTCTAAGAGCATATGGCCAGCTGCAAATCAAATAAATTGAATGAGTGCTCGTAGCGACAGATGCGCATTAACTGAAAATTAACACAAGCATAACAAAGGTGGGCTGATCATAAACACCGTTTCACCGGTGCAGGAATGTTCCTTGTTGCGAGGCAGACATCAAGCTGAGTGAGTAACTACTTCACCAGCGCAGAAATAGTCATTGTTGCGAGGCAGACATCAGGCTAAGTGAGTAATTATTCCACCATCGCAGGAATAGTCATTGTTGCGAGGCAGACAGCAGACTAAGTGAATAACTATTCCACCAGTGCAAAAATGCTCGTTGTTGTGAGGCAGACATCAGGCTAAGTGAGGATTACTTTTACCACTTGTTCCAATTAGTGATTACATGGTCATACAGTTTTCAATAACAAGAAGTCCTTTCTTTTTTACAAGCTCTGCTGAATAAATCGTCACGCATTTGCGTTCAATCTGTCGTGTCAGAGGAGAATTCCCTGTGCGAGAGACTGCGAAAGGGTGTTTCCTGTCTGGCCAGGAGAGTTTCCTGTGCGGGAGCGCGAGACATTGTCTCCTCTCATGTGCGCGGCTGCAATTGCGCGTGGCAACTGTATACAAGAAGCCGAGACAGATTTGCCTGTGATGAGCAGTTCTTCACGTTTACTTCACATCTCGCCAGTCATAAACAGGGAAAGCGTATTTCGCTTACTGTCGTTGAAACTGTCGCCAGTCGTGGTGAACTTTACATCACAGTGCAGGTCAATTAATTGCCTGCAGTACCGCGCATTTATCGATCGCTGTGTGAAACATCGCATTAAAGCATCAATTTGGCATGTATGCTTACCTTCTCGCTTTTTCACACTCCCGCACTGCCGATCAATGACACAATCGCCGCCATCGAGTGCTTTAAGCAAAACGACGGAAAGCGCACGCGCTATGTTCGTCATGGACCAGCAATAGTTGAATATTCCTCTCCCTTCCAGGAGAAGGCTCGGAGGTTTCTACCCAGGTTTTTACATGGCGCCATCATTACAATGACAGCTTAAGATTCGTAAGAACGTTCTGTCACCCATCGTCCTTCGCGTGCGGGATAGCCTAGGTCTCAGGAGGAGGACACCTACGCCATCTAGTGAGTTTGGCATACTCTCATACTTCGTTGGCATGCTTGGCATACTCTCATAGCCTCCAATCTCAACTTTAACAGTTAAGATTGGAGGCTCTTGGGACCGAACGCTGTTTCGGGAGAGCGGATGGTGACAGAAGTAACTGTCAAAACGTAATACATCTTTCAGCGGAGTAATGTTGAATTGTGCGAATCATAAGGCAAATTGCTGTATCCGCTGTCATATTTGCCTCACCGAATTCTTCGCACATGAATACAGACATGCAGACAACCAAACTAGTTAGCACGCATAACTGGAATATGGACATTATGCACGACACCGTTATGAGAGGAATGTAAATATGGCTCAACGATGAATGTGAAATAAATAGAAACTTGAATGGATGTAGCCGTGAATATGATGTTCGAATAATGTTGTTTTTGTACATAGAAGTACTCCAGCTTAAATGAGCCAAAAGTGCCTAGCGGGGTCCCAGCTCGGCGATATTACTCGTCACACAGAGCAGAAAATTTGGCTCTCCCACCGGGACCCAAACCCGCATCTTGGGCATGCTGGTCCAGTATGCAACCATTACACCATGGTAGGCGGACTCATATATTCCGCTGTATCCGGCGAGTAAGATCACCAGGCTGAGAAGTGGCTAGGCAGTTCAGGCCCGTCCAACGCACCAATTTCCAAGTATATGGACTGTGTGTCTGTCCGTCTGCGTATTTTTAGCCAGGCGCACACCGCAGATGGTTGCACAGATTGCCGGGAGATGTGTGCATGCGACGGGCTCAACCTTAGTGACAATCCGTGACATCCCTTTTCGTGAATGAACGGGCAACATATTGAGCAAAGACAGAGCCGTCGAGAACACGCTGCAAAGCTAGAGCGACGATGAACATGGCATCTCAACATACAGAGGACTACCAATTGAGGCAAGCGTGGGCGGACGAGTGTCTCAGAAAGCCGGGGAGACAATACCGATTTTGAAGTAGATTCTTTCCATACTTTGTCATAGGGATAATATGCAGCATTTCAGGACAGTGAGGTGCCATGGCACCCACGGATCACACTCCCTCCCCTCACCCACCTCCTAAGCCTTTGGACGCAAGTATTGAGAAGTTTAAGCAAGTTATCAGGATCATTGGGCATTATTGGCATGCGCATCAATCGCAAACATAAAATTAGATCCACTTCATGTTGTAAGAACACAAATCAGTGTTACGTCACGTGGTTGGCGGCACTACCAGCGCCAACGGCGTCACTATCAGTGCCAAGAGCTTCGCTACCAGTGCCAACGGTGTCGCCTCTTCGTGTGGTGAAGCGAGCGGGGGCCGCCTCTCAAAGCTAAAACTGATGAGTAAAGCTCAAGATTACACAAGTAGAAGTATATGCTGGAAAAAGTTTAAAGATCAGAGAGAAAAAACCTCCATTAACATGCATTTCAATCAACGGTATACATATCATGCTAAGTTAACATGCGGCGAATTTGTTGGAGTCCAGGTTATAATGGTAGCATGCTGGGCGGTCTCTCCTGAAATCCGGGCTCAAATCCTAATTGGCGGACTAAAACTTTGCATTCTATCTGGCGAACAATCTCACCACGCTGCAAAGTCAGAGGACAAGTTTGTCTCATCAAACCTGGAGTAACCTAACAAGCAAAAAACAGCATCACACCAAGGGGGTACACTGACCTGGCGCCTGGGCCGAGGTGCCGACCGCCGTGACGAGCAGCAGGAGGCCGGCGGCGGCGGCGGCGTGCGGTGGACAGCGGCAGCCCCTGGCCATGACTCCCGACTGCCAAGCAGGGCCTGAGACTGCTGCTCCTGGCTGGCCGCCGGTGCCGCTACACACCAACTCGTCGCACGTGGGCCGCGACTCCGCCCACCGCGCGCCCATTGGCCGGTGGGTGGTGACGTCGCGGCGCATTACCGACCCGACTCGGTCACTAGCCGCCGACCCACGCGAGACGCCGGCGGCTAATTGCCCCGAGGCGATTGCCGTGGGCCGATCCCAGGGGCCATAACGACGGCTTCCCGCGGCGCTGGCGGCGCTGGAGGCGGTGCCCACCTCTGGCCAAGCAGTGCCCGCTGCTGACAACTCCGCCGACGACGGGCTGAGCTGGTGATCTGCCCACACCGCAGGGCGCTCCCAATGCAAACCTAATTCTAGAGACTGTGATGCCCCCCGTGTTTTCGAAATAACGCTTTTCACGATGGCTACGTTCAGTGTGAATGGAACGTTTCCATAGTGAACTGCATGAATAATTAATGATTTAATTGAGCACGACGCTGCTCATGAGAGCGACAGAATTACAATTCAAGCTGACGTAAAAGAGCGCAGAGAGATTTTTAAAACTTAAGCATCACACCCGAACATAAACGTTCCAATAAGTGCAAAGGACCTGTAGTCCTCCCAGGCAGACATCAATTAAAATAGACCTTCGCATTGTTCGTCATTGAGTCTCAAAAGCTACAGCTAGACTTGAAGTCCAGGTGAAATATCTGGTGAGAGGAAGTTTATGTGGTAGGGTAGATGTAAAAATCCTCTGAAGAGTATTATACCAGAGCTTATTGCGCAGAGACAGATGGTCTTTCAAAGAACCACAAGAAAGAGACTGCTCTCCGCCCTTAATGCAGTCTGTACATGCGGAGACCACTTGAATAAACGATGCTGGCTCGTTGAACGAATACTACCGCGGCTGTTGCCTCATACATCAGCAAGTCTCAGTAAGAATACCTCAATGGGCTAGGTACCACGCTTGTAAATGGGCTTCATTCACGATCTATTGCTTTTAGCTTGGACGTTGCTAATTTTTATGAAACGTGTGCTTTTTGATTATGACATCGATGCATGCGTGGAATTCTTTTCAGAGGCTGATCGCGTTCAAACGTTTGGCCTTACGATCAATGATATTAGAACGACTGTTCCAAGTCCCGAAACTAACTTCGTCAGATTTGAGCAAAAACACAAAAAACAGAAGTTTTGTAAAGCACAATTTTATATAAATCTCAGCGATTTTGCAATGCTGTTACAGGAATATATATATATATATATATATATATATTGTATTTCTATATGCATATGCACACACACACAACACACACACCACACATATATATATATAATATATATTATATATATATATATATATATAATATATTAGTATATATATATATATACATATATATATAGAAGAGACGAGAGAGAGAGAGAGAGAGAGAGAGAGAGAGAGAGAGAGAGGCTCCAAAAACTTACCTATGAACGCCTTTAGCGCTTTTTCGCTTATTCTGTTATCTGCGGCCCTCGTGTGGCTGGCGAAGTAGACAACCAGAGATATCCGCCTCACATCATAAACCGTTTAATACGTGTGGGTGCCTGCGCTATCCGGTGCTACGAAGTGGGAGCTCACATCAGTTACCGTTTTGGCACACTTGAGTGGCAATGTCTGCACAAGTTAGGACAAATTGGTTTAGTTTTGCGACAAATAATTTCAGGATCCTGAAATCATTTGTCGGGCCAGCGCATCCTGAAATCTTTTGTCGCGTTCACCGCAAAAAGACCATCAAGCGAGAGCAAATGTGGGTTTTAGGTACTTACAGTACAGAAAATAAGGTGGCCACCTCGGACGTAATTCGAAACTGGTCGCTTAACGATACCGTCTTTATAAGTATTACAGCATGTCGAAAAAAGGTCTTTGAACAGCTTGCACAGATGAGTGTCGCTTTTACCCCAGGCTCGGAAACCTGGAGAACGAGTGCTCCACCGCCAACCACAACGAAACATTGAAGGCCCTCACCGCACAAAGATGCATATCGCGAGCCAAACCACTCCTGTGAAATGTCCGTGACACTCCCGTGAAATGTCCGCGACACTCCTATGGAATGTCCGCGAAACTCCTGTGAAATGTCCGCGACACTCCTGTGAAATGTCCGCGACACTCCTGTGAAATGTCCGCGACACTCCTGTGGAATGTCCGCGACACTCCTGTGGAATGTCCGCGACACTCCTGTGAAATGTCCGCGACACTCCTGTGGAGGCGATGCAATGACGGTGACGACTGCTGGAACCAATCAGCGGCGTGCATTCATTCTGTCTTTTTGCAATTTATACCTGTTTTATGACACAGTGCAAATTGGCTCCAGAATTACTACATTGGACTCAGCGTAAGCAAATTATGTTTTCCCGCGCCGCAATAATGATTTTAAGACTCGTGCGTACGATTCATTGTGTGCCCCAGGCATGACAGCAATCCTGTCCTAGTTGGGGCAATGAGTTTAAGGTATTCTGATGGAGAGCACCAGTGTTGGAAAATGCATCTATGACACCATGGAAAATCAGCTACGGTATTGACGAGCGTGCTGCCTAGGAGATCGAGGCCTAGTTTACACAGGAAACGGGACCAACCGCTTGTTGGCACAGAAGGGCAGTGGCCTGCCGCCACACCCGGAACGCGACGTCCGAAATTCACGGACCGCCTCACCAGCCGGACTTTCGGGGAAATTTGGCATCGCTAGTGTCCGGTCAAGGTGTGAAATACTACGAGCAGTTCTCGCTCGCTTCTTCGCGTGAAGAAGCGACGCTGTTGGCGCCTGTAGCTCCTAACATTAGCAACGTAATATCAATTTCTCGCCTCGTCTCGTCTATGCCATGAGGATTTCTCCAAATGTCCGAAAAATGAATAACCGGGTGCTAATGTTAATGGCGGAATGATCGTGTCGCCAAGCACGCCTGGGTCACTCGGTCATACTGTCCGTGCAGCTCCACTCCACTCAGCTGAACGTGGGGTAAACGTGAATTTATATCGGCGTTTATCCGCTGCTCCCTGTGAATGGGATGCATAATGTATAGTTGCTTGGACACTGCACTGGGTTTAGACGGTTCGGCCTTCGCTTGCCCTCTGAACTTCCCTTCCCGTAGGCGCTGTGACCGGCAGCGACATCGGATCGGAAGGATCGTGTGGATCGTCAGAAAAGATGAATCATTCATGTGTGTAAACTTCGCCTTCATCCGTGCAGCCGTCTGTGCTGTGCCTCTGGCTAAATAAATGTGCACAGACAGCACGCATGCTCAGAAATTGGTGAACCACAAGGGACTCCCGCTTGCCCCACCGTGCGAAGGGGCGACGCCGTTGGCACTCGCAGAGCCATCCGGGGCGAAGCGTTCACTCGTGTTTTAGCATCAAATGAATATCATTTAACTTGTTTTTGCCATTCAACACTCTTGGATAACTCGGACACGTCAGACGTGGAACGCTGTTGCAAGCACAGTGTATATGGCAAATATATCACTTGGTTGCAGTTGCCGCTTGCTGTGTTCCGCGAAGAGCCAGAGCCGTTGGCTTCTGTAGAGCATCGCCTCCAGTCCTATAATACTGATTCACATCTCACTGATTCGCAGCGTCCCCTTGATACCCTTTCCAAGCTTTCGCCGTTTGCCTCTTTTGAAAGTCCTCTCTTTGTTGGACGCTATATTCACGGTTTCTCGAGCTCTGCTGTACATTTTCGACGGTTTAGCCTTTACACAACTTGTTACGAGCACGTCCTGTGATCAACACCAGGTATCGGAGGCATGTGTGTTCATGCCGTGGTTCGTCACAAAAGTTAAACCTGCCGTGCAACGAGGGCAAATTTCACGGTGACCAGTACTGCCGTCTGTGCCGAGCGTCTGGCTAAAATTTTGTACACAGACAGACAGACGTAGCTCTCAAGCTAGTTACTCAACGTCAGTTCATTCGGTCTTTTTCATAGCGTTGGATGTGGTTACACAGTTCTGGGCCATAAATGTGCATTTTATGCGTTATTACTTTGTCGAGGGCACCACGCTCTTTGGACAATCATCGCCGCCGTGCGCACGATCTGGTTAATTCTCCAATTTCCACCTGGTGAAGCTGGGCGGTCCTTTAGAGACGAGGACCTCAATAAATTCTGCTTGCATGTTTGAATGACTTGCGCGCAATGTTTTGTGATATTTGTAGCTAATTGGCGGTGGGTTATTGATTTCATCCTCATTGTTTACCTGAATATTAAAGATGATTAAGCTGTCATTTGGACATGATATGCGGATTTTATTGCGACAAGTAAACCCTCTTTAATTTTGATTTGAACATCTTTCGGTATGAATGAAATACTTTCAATTTCTCATGATGTTACCAGCTTTTGTGATCTGTTCGACCCGCTTAAAAATCGCCTTGATGAACAGGCTATTAGGAAATAAAGAATACGGATCTGTTCACGTGTTAGAAATCGTCTGATGGGCGATGGGCTTTGACATTCAATTTTGTTACGGACAGCTTTAGAAGCTAAGCTCAAATGTCACGCGACGTGTTGATGGGGCCATTGCACGGCAGGCTGTTGCACGCTCGTGCAACAAAATAAAAATCAAGTTTTTCTCGGCGTCTGCCATGATCTTTTTCCATTCGTGGTTCGGTCATCGAGCATGGCGCTTTTGATCTTCAACTTCGTTGCCGGTCCGACACGAAAACTCAGAACTTATTGGATCGAAATATTTTTTAATGTGCTCAAGCTGTCGCTAGCAAAAGGTAAGGAGGATTTACATAGTTGCTAACAGCAAGTAAATTCATTTAACGCAGTGCATAAAACTGTGGTGCGTCGATTAAAATAAAAAAACAGAAGTTCATGCACCCACTTCCATACGGGCTTTGAGAACATCTAAAATATCTACAGCCTGGAAGTATCAGACAAAATTATGTTTCCCTGTGCAAAGGAAGCTTTCAGTGAGCTTCTTCCCTACTGCCGTGAAAATGAACAAGGTGCGGCACAATATAACACAAGGAACCGGTCAC